TCCTCTAAGTCTTCCTACCAATATGACCAAGTTGCGAAAGCAAGGTAAAACAACCTTTATATAACTTCCGATTTTTTTCTTTGATCTGCTGTAATCAGTGCATTGATGGGCAATCTTACAATCCTATTTAGCTCGTAGATATGAAGACAAAGATGGGGTGGCTTTCTGTTATGTCACTGTCTACTAGCCGTTTATGCACTATGAAGTCCTCTCCTATATTAGTTTTGATAAATTCTAGCGTCTGATCATAAAGTTGGTTTGTTGAGACAATTGCCTCTAGCAGAGGACACCAGAATGGGTACGTTCATCTAGTTACTAAGTTGCATAAATGGAGTCAAACCACTTTTAAACATGTTTTATTATTTTTTCATTAGATTTTATTTCCCTATGTGCATATCCTCCTTGATTAACGATATCAAAGGCAAAAGCAAATTAGAAAGTATTGCGATTGATTCAATTCCTAAACGTATCTCTACTCTCCTAGTTACCTAAAAAAATGTCACTTTTTTTAACTTAAATATCATATGCTTTACTTGTTCTAAAATATTTACCCCTGATCAATTCTTTCTGTCGTATATTTATTTTCCATCTAAAGGTCAGTGACCGGCTAGATAGTGTCGCAGAATTGCTAGCGGATGTCAAGCAGAAAGCTGCTCGCCTAGGTGTTTGTCTTATGCCTATCCATGAGGATGTTATAGGTGAGGCCGCCGCCGAAGCCGATGAATTCAATGAAGTGACAAGCAGTGATGATGATTTACTAGCACCCAGTTTGCCTAGTAAAGTAGTCGCTTTCCCCATTGGTACAAACATTAATTTGGTGAATGAAGAGGGAGATGAATCTAGGCTACGTATTGCTGGCAAAACAGAAACCGAGGAAGAGAAAGATCTACTAGCAACTCTCGCTTCTAGCTCGATGCGCGTTTCAATAGTCAGTCTACTTCCAGATCAATTGGTTGAATTGCAAACGGCTGCTCAGGGTCTCGTAGATCAGCTAGACAAGCGAATGCCTGAAATCGACACCTTAGTGAGTCATTTGCTTGAACAAGTGCGCCTATATCAGATGGGGGATGGCGGCGATGACCACCCGAAAATTAGTCTTGCAGCTGGCGTGACCTTAGAAGAGTCAGACCTGACGAAGGGAGCTTTAGTCGGTAACTATCCTATAAATAAAACATATTATTTTATGCATTATCTCTTTATTTATATATACATGCTTAACTTAAGTTAGAATCAATTTTCCTCCCTCTCATTTTTTGCGTTTTGTACCACTCACTCAATGAGCTATCTAGGGGCTTGACAGCATTCAGATTTTTGCCAGATACTTTTCATAGGTTACTGGAATATACGGTTGCTAATGGGACATCCAGCACCTATTCGTTCATTATTTTATTTTCTTATGTATGCTGCTAATTTTTATGAGTATTACTTTGTGTATACAAACAGTTTTGTTCAAAGAGATGCTGTTTGGGTATCAACTTCTTGAAAGGACTATCGAAAGCTAATTCTGCCTTGGCGATTCTTTATAATTTCTCGTATTACCTCAACTTGTTTTTGCTTACTTTATCTATTCGCATCAGTTTTAAACTGTTTGGACTGATAATGAGTCCTTCCACAATTAATGGAGGATAATGTATGGTTTTTCTACTTAATTCACTGCTCTATCCATCAAATGAGGCTGTTTTCATTTGGATTGGACTGCTGTTTGAACCTTGCCTCTGCACTCCCATCATAATTAAAACGTCTGCTTTACCGATTAAGAGGCAAACACGTTTTCCTCTAGACCACATTTGCTTAGCCCTTTGGCTTAAATGGCAAGCATGACCTTAAGGGAAAATTAGGCCTCAGTTCAAATTCTCATTTGGCAATTTGGTTTCCATTGGTCACTGAACTTGATTCATCGCTAAAGCGTTATTAGCACTCATTTGGTTGCGATAATAGTCAAACTCCTGACACCTTTGACCAAATCACTATTAAAAATGAATGTTTTTAAATTTTTAAAAAGAATCCTAACAGTATTTTTATGAAGAAGTCCTGGATGAACAAATCAGTGCTTCAGGTTTGTTCGAGTTCGCTGAAAATTGTCCACAGTTAGCGAAGTCACTGGTCTTTCTTAGCTCAGCAATGGGCTGACTTATTTTTCTTTGATAAGTACGTTTTCAGAACTACCAGTATATATATATGAGATGTATAACCCTATTTCATCAGTGATGAATGTGATATGGGAAAAGGCCCTGCTTTCGTCTAAATTCGCATCTGCGCTCTGACTCAATGTCACTCGTGGTAATGTGGTGTAGTTGTTAATGTGCTGCACTATCATGGTTCGAGTCTCACTACGGATGCTGATGAGACCTAGGCGAGGTCGAAACTGCAGTCCATCCTGGTTGATAATAGCTTTCGGGGACCAAGGCTATGTGAACTTCTATGGTAACGTAAGGCCTACTCATAATTGCGGGGCGATTCTATTACTACTCCCTCATCATCTTAGCATCTCATATAAATGACCTGACTTATCACTGTCCTAATTTTCAAGGAATTGTCCTCAAGTGCGAACTAGACTGTCGATCGATCAAATTATGATTAACATAAGGATTAAGTCATTGCCCATCCAAATGAGATCCTTGAGAAAACTCGTACATTTTAGATGGTTTGAAGTTGCCTTTATGGCCACCAAGCCTTATTTTAGTTCTTATTGATTAGAACAGTAATTGCTTCCTCTCACTTGAAGGAAATTTATAGGCTTGTAAATAGATTCATCTAGATTTACATTCTCCATTTAATTAATCATTTCAGATGGTATCTATAATACATTGCTATAATACTATATTGCTATAGTAATGATGCTATAATACATTTTGCGTTCATTATATTGCGTTAATTGCCCTTTACTCAATTCCCCCACATCCTTCTTTGAAACTTCTCACCCGTCGCCGATCATATATTGGCTCGCAAAGGATGCAAATTTATTATGTTTTCCTGCGCTTGATAGATATTTCCTCCTCGAATACTTTACTAGTTCCTACGTTATATAGTGCTTTGATTATTTAATTCCTTGGGAGACTTTTCTTAGAATATTTACTTTGCTTATGACGGGGATAATCTCTGCTATTAATATTCTAGTCACTAAGACTTTGTTGCTAACATATACTTGAATTATAGCTAGGACTATGAATTTTTTATTGACACTGCTGTTTTAATGATTATTCCCATGATCTAGGTCGTTTACTATTTCTTATTAATTTAGTACATATCTTTTTATTCATCCGCAACTCAAAGCTTTGCATGAGGCTCGTGGCCTGCAAACCGTTTGGATGCAGCTTCGCGGTTTACTTTCACAACGAGTCACCAGCCTCACCTCTGCCATCGATGCTGTCTCACGAAATTTCTGGCCCTTGATTTCGCAGCTTCAATCC